TTTTTAAACAGTTTCTCATCTCCAATTCATAGTAATTTTACGGTTGTGAATTTCTATGTGTTATTGGGGTGGATTCTTGGGATGTAGCAATGTTCAAATGGTCTCACCTTCTTTATTAGGTTTCTTAATTCTCATTTTTTCCCACTCTCAATTCCTATCCAAGACTTTGTACCTTTTTATCCCCTCTGTCTAAGGGGATCATTTTGACTGGTGGAGACAGATAATTAGATCCTTTTTTCTTGATTTATTCTTCTGGGAGGTTCAATCAGTGTAACCAGTCACTTTTCACTCCCTCTCGGACAGGGGTATACAAGTGTCTTAATGGATGATGGACTACATTTCAATAGCAATAGCACTTAGACTTATATTCCTCTTCACATGCTTTATAATCCTCTCTAAGCGCTTTACAGAGTCAGCATATTTCCCTCAACATATTCAAAGAAAGTGGTTGGGGCCAGGACATAAATTAAATTCAGTTTCATTTTATTTAATTAAAATTAAATCTAGTTAATACAGTGTTACTATTTTCCCGGTTTGCCATTTTAAAGATTTTCTTTCATGTCATATCAAAAGTAGAATTTTGTAACAACATTTGAAAGTCTTCAGAGGCATCATGTAAAACCTTCAAGAGTTTGTTTGTTTATTTATTTATTTATGAGACTTATATACCGCTTTAAGTGCAAGCACTCTCTAAGCGGTGTACACCAGTAAACAATGTGTGTGTGTGTGTGTGTATATATATATATATTACATTGCCCCCAACAATCTGGGTCCTCATTTTACCTACCTCGGAAGGATGGAAGGCTGAGTCAACCTTGAGCCGGTGAGATTTGAACCGCTGACCTGCTGAACACAGTCAGCTAAAGTGGCCTGCAGTACTGCACTCTAACTGCTGCGCCACCTGTTTGTTCAGATTGTAGACTTGACTGGATTGTATAGATTGGATGTTTTGATACTAGGAAAGATAATTTAGAATTTCAGAGCTGGCAGTCCCGGTTTAAAATGACCTGGACTTTACCTCCCAATTTTGTGTACATAGTGACTTGAGATGATCCAGACCTTCCTGCTGTGGTATTATTCTGATACTGGAATTTGTTTAGTGCTTTTACCTTTAATGACACATGCAGGCTGGACATGGATGCATTTATCATGCTCTTACCTTTGCTTTATAAAGGCCATACATCTAGCTAGCTCACGGTTTATTTGAATCATCCATTTGCGTCAGCAGTTGCATGCACTGTATACTTTTCGCTTTGTCCCTGGAACGAGGGAGGCTGTTAATACTCCATCATCAATTTCTTCAGTGAACATGTCAGCAGAATATGCAGCAGCATCACTCTTACAAGTCACATCTTTTGACATTTATCTGTCCAGTGAATATTATAGAGATGGTAGAAAGGAATGCTTGGAGAAACGTTCTAATTTTATTCTTCTTCTCAGAATGCAAAGTTGCTTTATATCTGCTGTGGAATCCAAGCGCAGCCTTGAAAAATAACTCCAGGATGCCAAATTTTCTAGATTCTGAAATTGAACTTCAGTAGAATATTAATGAAAATTAGACAGAACTTATTTGTGTGCTGGGCATCAGAACTCCAAACCAAGAGAATTTAATCTCCATATTGCTATGTGAGCAATATCTTTTCATTCTGTTTTTATCTCAGGAGGTTTCCCATTTGTGTTGGTTTTTAAAAAGGTTTCACAGATGTTAAACACTAAAGGGCATTTTCATGGTTAATTTTAGCTAAATTTAGCTAAATAGCGTTTCTGTTAGGACACTGAGATGCCTGTTTTTCATTTGGCTTGTTATTTGGAAAATCTTCCCAAAGCAAGATGTAAATTAAAAATAAATAATGCTTATTATTTTAAACATAACATTTTTAGGATTTATTCCCCTGGATTGTTTGGTGGTAATAGCCCTGGGGAATAAGGGAAGAGAGTAAATCCAGCTGAGATGGCTTTGGGGGTGGTGGTCTTCTCCTGTTTTCTCTTGCTGGGATTCTTCTCCCAGGGCATTTGCTGATAATTCCTGGGATTGGAGTGGGGAGAGAAGAGGATTTAGACAGCTTAATTTAATTTAATTTAGTTTAGTTTAATTTAATTTAATTTAAACAGCTTAATTTAAAATGTGCAAGGTAGTACAATTTAAGATTAGAGTATCCTTTCTAGCATTGGGATATGCCTATAAATTTAAAATACATGTGAACTTTATAATCATGTTTTATATTCTATTTCTCTCTTTCTCTCTTCTCAGCACAATCCATTTAAGATTTGCTGTGTTAAATAATCACAAATTTCCATTATGTTTTAACTTGGAAAATCCGTTTTTTCTAAAAAGCTAAGATTTGAAATTACAAATGGAAACTAATTTCCCAGTTTGAAGAAAATAGAAATCCAAGCTTTCAGGAAAAACATGACTACATTTTTAAGCCCCCTAATTGCTGAGAGTTTTAGCCTGGCCCCAATCAAATGTAGTTAATAGCATTGCAAATTTAGCAGATAAACACAAATATAAAATTAAAAATATATTTCAACAGCTGTGTACTTTAATTTTTCCAGAATAGGATGCAATGGCAAATATGTTCATAATTCATTACATAGACTGTTCCAAAATATAGTGCTTGTTTTAATGAATATTCTCAGATATTCTTATGATTAAAGCCATGCACGCTCATCTAGTATCATCCATCTACCACTGGGCTTTCAGAGAAAGCTACAGTACCTATTGTTTGATAACTCTTACTGGTAATATCCAACCAAAACTTTCAGTTACTCTCTTGTTGTAAGTTTATTCCAATTGCTAATTTTATGTAATGCTCTATTGTTATTTCTGCTGTGAGTGTCCTAATTTGGCATTTATATTGTTCCATTGTGAACTTTTGTTCCCCAAATTCTCTATGGCATCTAATTGGCATAGTTTTATTGCAGTGAATAGAAATATCCAGACTTTACTAACGTGTCTGCATTTTAAGAAAATGTTTTAAGTCTCTATATTCAGAAATAATAAAATAAAGAGGAAAAGAAACAAGGTAAGTTTAGGGCAACTATGAGAAAAGTGTTTCCACTGTATTATTAAGCAACAATAATATAAACCTGACAATCATTTTTCTGCATTTAGGAATAAGAAAGTTCCTCATAGACAGATGAAATATCTCCACTGTTATCAAATGTTCTCAACACCAGCCATATACAACCCAGCCAATAATTATTCAGATGAAGGAGTTGCAGCATAATAATAGAGACCTAAACCATAGATTTAATCATAATCTGTTGAATAAGGCATAGTGGCCTCTTTCACACAGCGTACTAAGCTATGACCCAGTATTGGGTCTTAAGTATTTAATTTCTGGTATTGGGTAAAGGGTCTGTATGTGAGGTCCTTGGTGCTCCTTGACAGTGGTTGTTTTCTTGCAGATATTTCACTAACCAGATTAGGTAACATCATCAGTGCTAATAGGGAGTAGGGTTTGCTCTCATTTTATGTACCAGTGGCTACCTTGTCAGTGTTGGTAGGAGTGGTAGTTACTTGATTGGTTTATTGTTTGCTATTAGCTTGTTTAACAGTTCTTTGATTGGGGTATTGCTTGTTTCTTGATTGTTGGTCTAATGTTAATTTTGGTGTTAATCTCTGCTCATCTATATGCAACAATTATTCTGCCATTGTTGACATGCTTCTCCATACCAAAATGCGACAAGGATATCAATGCTTACTACTGCCTTCTTGTGAATTTGAGAGGCTTGGTGTTTTGTGTGTGTGTGTCTGTGTATGGTATATGTCTATGTGTGTCAGAGAGGGATGGATGGATGGATTATGGACAGATCCTAAGACCCGTTTCGGTTGTCATGCACAAGGTGTATTTGATTATTTATTTTGCATTCTATGCTGCACACACTTGTTTTTTTTATTCCTTATTACAAATTTGTGAGCTTTCATAAATGCATGTACAGTAGTTTTCTCACAAAATGCTTCTTCCTGGTTGCACTTTCTTTTATTTGTTATGCCATCTCCCGGGGAAGGCAATGACAAACAAGTTCTGTATTGTTATCAAGAAAACTTGTATTGTTATCAAGAAAATTATATCACCCAAAGATGAATTGAACTTTAGTTTTAAGGGTGGTTCAGAGAGTAAGGAGCATAAATTATAGTTCAGTATCCTGAGAAGCTGATAAATTCTCTTTCCATTTAAAAAAGCAGCATGGAGCACAGCTAGGTTTAGAGCAGTGTTTCCCAAACTTGACAATTTTAAGGCATGTGGACTTCAACTCCCAGAATTCCACAGCCAGCGGAATTCTGGGAGTTGAAGTCCTCATGCCTTAAAATTGTCAAGTTTGGGAAATACTGGTTTAGAGGTTTAGAAATCATTAGACAGTAACTAAAAATCCTGCTTGAATCACAACGATAACCCACATGAATAATATGAATGTATATAGGGACTGTTTGCACCTCACTGAATGTGCTACCATGAGTCCATTTTCTCCTATGTGGCTTTAAGTTAATGTGCTAGAAATATATGAAAATATTTTTTTGTGATCAGGCTAGAAAATTATTGGAATACTAAATAAAAAATCATGGTTTCAAATTGGAAAATGAATATTGTTGTAGTTCCCTTGAGGTGTTGATTCCATTCTTATTGATGTACTGTATACAGTACTCAAAAGAGCCCTATAATTGAAAGTGGCCTGTGTTCACACTATGAGCTTGAGGTTGATAATGAAGAGCAGAGAAAGTGTCTCCCAACTCATGAACTTCATTTGTAGATCTGATGTTGCACAACAATTGTTATATTCCTAAACGTGGTGAGGACAAGGGCATGATGAAATGGAAGCTATTTCATGACAGTTATGAGAATATGGAACTGAAAAATCTCCCAGATGGAAGATCTGGTTTTGGGAGCTTAATGCTTTTTTCATTGTTTTGTTACTGATCACTGGGTGGAACCAATGTAAAGTATGACTTAAGGTTTTTATTAAATTCTTTCTATGCTTCTTTTCCTTTCTTACAGCCCTTCACAGAACTCCTTGATGATTTTTCCCAGGATGTTTTGGGGCAGCTCTTGAATGATCCCTTCCTGTCTGAGAAAAATGAGATGATGGAAGTGGAATTATCACCAGTATCTCCAGCTCCCCTCATCCAGGCAGAGCATAGCTATTCCCTTTGTGGGGACTCTCGGCCCCAGTCGCCATTGACCCATATTTCAGCTGATGACAATTTCAATGAAGGTAAAAGAATGTAATGAATTTTGCTAACCAACTTCTGGAAATAAGACTCCCACTATTGGTTGCCTTGAGGTGTAGCCTGTCTAGAATCTTGAAAGAGACAATAGAGCAGTGGTTCTCAACCTGTGGGTCGGGACCCCATTTGGGGTCGAACGACCATTTCACGACCATTTCTCTTGAATAGAGTCTAATTCTATTGGCTTTCAAAAGCCAATAGGAATTGTCCAGGCTGTCTCTGCCCTGAAGAGCCTGCCAAAAGTCCCATTCTGCAAACGGTGCTGCAAGTTGTCTGCAGCGAAGGCGAGTTGTCTGGAAGTTTCCACCCCTCCCTGCTGAGCAACTACTAAAAATGTAAGTAAAAGAGGGCCAGGGGTGGAAGGCCGGCAGGTGCAGGGAGGGTTGCTGGCGCGTGTGGGGCCCGGCGGGTGCCTTACCTCCCTTGGGCTGGGCCAGCTGGTGGCCCAGCCGGTGGTTGGCCTGCGCCGTCTCTTCCGCTTGCCAGCTACGCCTCGGCCGGCACAGGGGACGGCACCACGCATGTGCGGCGCTCCCGGGCAGGGAAAGTCCTCGACTTATGACCGGTTGGGTAGTCCTCGACTTATGACCAGTTGGGGGTCGCGGCATTAAAAAGGTTGAGAACCACTGCAATAGAGTGTAAATATCTTAGAATTTCAGACATTTCCAAAGGGCGCTGTTGTCAGGGAAAAAAATTAACCAAAAAACAAAAAAATGCTTACTGTTCTACTAACTAACAATATTATTAGTAACTAGCAGCCTCTTTGAAGACCATATGTGGGACAATAGGTTTGAGTATTTTAAACAAGCTATATTCAATCTGTATTATTGTAAATAAACTCAAATATTACAAACTGCCATTAGCCTCTGGTGATCATATCCATAGAAAATAGGACTCCTGTTTATTTATTTTAGAAAACTGCTTGATTCCAAAATGATTCTGGACAGCAAAGAGAGGTGGAAGATTTGTTTATCTGACTACTGTTCTACTTGTGGCTATTTGTGCTGCATTTATTTAATTGGATCTTGCTTAACACCCCGCCAACAAATCAATGCACACATTTCTAAAAGTAATGTCAGTTATCATCCTTATCATTTTCAAGTAATAGTTCATGACATGTTCTCTTTCTTGAATGAATAAAATTATGTGAGAGTGATTTTTTTTTTAAAAATATAGGAATTCATAATCTCAGCAAGTGTAGAGGACCTTAAGTGAAGGCCTAAATGTAGAAAGGGAATTAAATCCTATCTTTTTATGGAAGGAAATCCAGGCTCCTGGCCTTGTGTCATCTGCATCTGTTTATTGCTCTCACAAAGTAGTTTTCATAGGGAGAGGGCAGTATATATTCACAAAATGGATGCCATGGTGATTATAACTCGCCCATTGATGGAGAAAGCTGGAGAGGTTGCTCCTTACTACATCTATTACCTCAGGTGACCTCTGACATTTTTCTGGGCAGTTGGGCATACTTTGAATGAAGCACTGAGATATTATTTTTATTTCGTAAAAAATGTTATGGAGGCTATGCAGAACTCCAAAGCATTCTTGTTATGCAAGACTGCTTTGCTTTCCAGCATGACACTTCCATTTCATTTTTTTCAAAACTGAAAATCCAAAAAGAAATTACAATCAGATGGACCTAGGAGTTTACCAAGATGATGTGTCTGCACGTATCTCTCATTATCAATCAGTTCTAATTAATACATTTTTTTCTATTGAAAATAGACAACTATATCCAAGATCTTAGGGAGCCCAAGACTTAGAGTTACTCATATGTCTGGTGAATCATTGATGATCTTTTTACTGTTCTAAGCGCTAATGCCTGTTTATCAAGCGTGCTGAGATGGAATTGGATAAGAGCTGGAATAGAACAATATTTTTTTCTTTCTTCTTCATACAGTTTCAGTTTCTCCCACATACCAAGGTTTCCCCTTTAAAATAAAATAGTTATTGAAAACAGAATCTTAATTCATATGACAGTGGAGTCTAATTGTTTTTTGATAGCAAGTTTCTTGAGGTGTGTAAGCAATCCAAGTCAAGCTTTAAACCAGATGGGGATTTTTGACAAGGGAAAGTTGCCAAGATCACTGTCACAGGATACTTGTTTTGCTTTTGCTTGCAAGTATATACCATTTCTTGACACTTCCAAAGCAGAAGTATATTAATACAATTGCAGACTGGACGCCTGATTCTTGAGTCACATCTACAGTTATCACATGTCTTTTATGATGGAGGACAGCTCTTTTATTTCAGACAGCTACCCTTTAGATTTATTTAATCTAATTATTTAAATAATTCAGCAAATAAACATATGTTTATCCTTATGAACTTTTTTCAGATTTGCCCCATTTTCAGGGTTGTCTTTTATTTTTTTTACAAGAAAGTATGGTCTCTGAAGTCATATACTATTTGTGGAAAATCAGATAAAGGTAATTATACATATAGCATTCACAAGTACTGTTACATTCATATGAATATGTATATGTACAGGCACTCATATTTATACAAGCAATCCTCAACAGCCTTTCATTTAGTGACCCTTCAGAGTTACAACAACTCTGAAAAAAATAACTTACGACCATTTTTCACGCTTATGATCATCCTCATGGTCGTAGGGTCAAAATTCAAGCGCTTGGCAACTGGCTCATATTTATGACAGTTGCAGTGTCCCAGGATCATGTGATCACCTTTTGTGACTTTCTGACAAGCAAAATCAATGGGGAAGTCAGATTCACATTACAACCACATTATTAAATTAATAATTGCAGTGCTTCACTTAAGTGTGACAAGAAAGTTTGTAAAATGGAGCAAAACAACTGTCCTGCTATCAGAAATTTTGGACTTAATTGTGGTCGTATGTCAAGGACCACCTGTATATCATATTTAAGAAACTTATTTCCATGAATTAAAGAATCTTTTTAAGCATCCTTGAGATATGATAACTGGAATCAGTCACATTCTTTCTCTATATTAATTTGATTTCTTTACAAGGACATTTCCTTACAGTGAGTTTGAGTGACAAACTAAAACAATATTAAAGTAAATGTTTGTGATGCCATCTTACCCTTATTCCAAACAGTTCTTTAACCAAGATCTGAAGTTTTTCTAAAGTTAAGTATGTCACCCAGATGTAATTCATTCCGGATAGCATGAACTGGAATTTGAAACCAAGGAATTAGTCAGAAAGTAAATTACTGGTTATTGCATCATTCTGTGGTAATGTGTTTAAGAAAAGAATCCCCATGAAATATATTTTTGTCAGATCCGGAAATCTGCATCCTGGATATATTATATCAGCATTACTAGAATTCATTTAAGGCTATACCAGTTTCAAGTTACCCTGGAAACTTTACTTTGCTAAGGTTTGTTTGAATATTTGAAGGGAACCCCATATTTCATATGAATTGCTTTTGTTGTAAAAAGCACTCCTGAGATTTTATTAAATTACCGTAGAAATGAGATTTGTCTTATTCACAGTGCATGTTTTTTCCCTCAAGTGGAGATTGCCAATTGGCAAAATTCTAATTTGGCTCAATATATGTATTTATGTAACACCCTAAAGCTATCTTTCCTAGTATCCAATAAACATATTTCTTTTTAAAAAAATAGTGAATTATGGTACAATTCAAATAATAATTTGTTAAATGTTGGGAAAATAAAAATCTGTTTGGTATCAAAACAATAAATACCGTACTAGCTACCAGGCAGATATATCTTGCTTATCTCAAGCCCTGCATTTGAAACTTGTTTAGTCTATGATATTTTGTTGCATATAGTTTAATCTTGTATTTGTTGGCACTTTTTAAAAACGCAGTAAAAGGTAGTTCCTAAATTGTTATTTTATGTTTTTTGTTTATTTACTACAACTGTTTTTTGTTGGTTTAGTATGCTGTTTTTTTGTTTATGTACCATTAGATTCTTGAGAGCTCTGAGTAACTTGCATCTACCAGTAATAAAAGATTTTTAAAGTACTGTACAGGTAGTCCTCTACTTACAACCACAATTGAGCGCAAAATTTCTATTGTTAAGTGAGACATTTGTTAAGAAAGTTTTGCCCCATTTTTCTTGCCACAGTTGCTAAGTGAATCATTGAAGTCGTTAAGTTAGTGACACAGCTGAGTGAATCTGGCTTCCCATTTGACTTTGCTTGTCAGAGGTTCGCAAAAGGGGATCACATGACCCTGGGATACAGCAACCATCATAAATATGAGCCAGTGGCCAAGCGTCTGAATTTTAATCATGTGACCATGGGGAATGCTGCAAAGGTTGTAACTGTAAAATGGTCATAAGTCACTTTATTCAGTGCCGTGGTAACTTGAAATGGTCACTAAATGAACTGTTGTAAGTTGAGGACTGCCTGTAGTCATCACCATTGTGCAGATCAATCCTCTATCTGCTACCTGGGAATTGAGACTACTTAGACACTAAGCCCGAAACCATCTTCCCCTTCTCTTCCCAGCTTCATTGTTAGGACTAGCCCTGGTCAATGCAAGCTTTGAAAACCACTTAGTAAAGTATGAGTATGGTAAATTATAGGAACCCAGCTCCTTGAAAAGAGTCTTTGTGTGTGTCTCTCTCTGTGTGTTTGTATGTCTCAACAAAGCCAGTGCTGAACCACTACATAAAAAGTGTGGCCTTACTTTTTTTACTCTTTCCCTAACCCACAAGGGATGTAAAGCTATAGGTTCAGCTTCTTATTTTGACTAAACAGAATCAGTAACTATCAACTAGTTTTATGTAGGTGTGACAAGGTGGTGAGAAAGATGGGGTGACATGTGAATCTCGTTTATTATTACCCCCCCCCCCCAAAGACAATTGTTTTTTGCAAGCTGTGGAGGAGAACCTTACAGCAAGGGCAGGAAACTTATGAACAGGTAGTCCTCGACTTACAAGAGTTCATTTAGTGAATGTTGGAAGTTTCAACGGCACTCAAAAAAGTGATTTGTGACCATTTTTCACACTTATGACCATTGCAGCATCCCCATGG